ACATACCAATGTATCCTAAACCTGTGCCAGCTATTTGCATTCATTGTGATAGTCAATCTGCAATAGGTAGGGCACAAAATTATATGTATAATGGCAAGTCACAACATATCCATCGTTGACATAATACCGTAAGGCAATTGCACTCAAATGGAATAATCTTAATAGATTATATAAAATCTAAAGAGAATATTGCAAATCCGTTAACAAAAGGTTTGACTAAAGAGTAAGTGTATAGCTTATCAAAGGAGATGGGATTAAAGCCTATTATATATGAGTCATCATAATGGTAACCCTACTTAAATGACTGGAGATCCCAAGAACTAAGTTCAAAGGGACAACTAAGTTATGTGTAGCTTGCCAGAAATCACCAAGGGATTAAAATTCCTTACCCATTCCTATGGTGAGAGTGATATCTGCAACATGTTTTGTATGTAGGGGTTTAAGGATAAGTTTTGCTTTTAATGATTACTTATATCTTGATTTAGGCATAAGGATCAAGACGAGTATAAGAGATACTCATAATAAGAATCACCTATATGAGTGTCGAACTGGGGCCAGTTCTATGAGAATGAAGAGGCTAGATTCTCTAAAAGCACTCATGAATAACTAGGAGCGTTCAAGGCCAAAATGAACACAACTGTGAGAACCACGATGTGTCAGAAGATATTTTGTGTGAAGTCTATTGTCATGGCTTACACAAACGACTGAACAATTCAAGGCATCACATCCATTGGTTAGCTAGTAAGTCCGATAGGTTATCACTAGGGAAGGTTCAAGGCTGAAAGCTACCTATCCTGATGCGAGATATTTTCGATTTATACTTTTTCAACAAATTCTGCATATTGTTGCATTTCTGTTGTCATCAAATTCCATTCATGTGGGGGATTGTTAGATATGGTTTTGGAAAATATGATTTTTCCTTAACTTTGGTCTATTTTTTAGTTGGAACCCATACGCCAAAGTTGGCGGGTCTAAGTGGTAACGTGTTTTATGCCGCATTGTGATTCACGTGGTATATTTGGTTGCTCAAAACTATTATCGGGTGAATGGAAAATTGAAGCCAATGAGAGCTCTATAGAAATTGTGTTTTTGGTGAAATTTCCTAAAGGTTTGGTTTAAAGCTTGTCCCACATTGATTTGGTGGGCAAACTTTGAGTGGGTTTATAAAGGTTGAGTTTGGAACTTGGGGTAGACCCCAAGGAGCACCCAAGTTTTGTAGAGATAGAGGTTATGGGTAAAGTGGGCTAGACCTATTGGACCCAAAATAAACGCACGCGTGCGCCGCCGCCACCGTCCGTCCAGTCAGTAGAGTTGGCTTGGGCTGGGCTGGCCTTGGGCGCAGGTGCGTGGTGTAAGGTTGGGTTGGGCTTGTCCGGCCTAATACTTATCTTTTTGGGCCAAAAACATTTGAATTTATTTTATTTATTTAAAAATAAAATTTGTTCGTTTTTTATTTCAAATTCTGGTCGGAAATTGAAATTCAAATTTTGGTTGGAAAATTTGCACCTTTCTGTACAAATTTTGAAACTGTCCGAACAGATTCAGTTCTCTCCCTTACCTATTTAATTTAAATTCAAACATATTTGTATCTGTTTAATTTAAATCGAACAGGTATCATACATGTTGGATTCAAACCAAATAGCCACCATTTTCCTATATAAATAGGCAGTCTCTCATTTGGATTTTTGACACTAATTTTCGTTCTTATCTGCTGTCATTCATCTCTGCATTTTGCTGCATTAATTACATTAATTTTCTGTAAGAAAGAGTGTAAGTGTAATTAATTTTCTATGCAAAAGAGTGTATACACAAAGTGTGTTCGTTGTGTGAATAGTATATAGTGCTGCTACTATTCACTGTTGATCATTTTATCTTGGGAGATAGATGCTCACAATTTGAAAGCACCATAGAGAGGACAAATCTGTCTGAAGGACACAGTATTAAACACTATACTTGATGAGAAAATTTGTTCAACAAATTAATTTGGTAAGTAATTAATTTACTTTTTCTGTTTTTTTTTTCAGATTTTGATTTTGTTTTTGTAACAAAATAAAAGTATGTTTTATTTATTTTATTTTATTTTCTGGTTTGATTTTTATAGTCAAACAAACTCTCTCATTTTCTTTATTGCTTCTGTATTCTATTTGTTGTTAAGTACACAAACATAATTTATTTCTTAAATACAGTGAAGATTGTCCAACATGAATAACCAAAACCCTAGATGAAAAACAACAATGCCTGCATATAAACTCAAGTTAAAATATTAAATATTATGTAAAGCCCCAAAAAAGAACAATTTCAAAATGGTGCAAGCTCGGATATAAAAAAAAACATGAGATGATTAATACAAAAGAAAATTTCAATATATCTAAATATACAGAATGTGAAATTACTAGAACTAAAATAAAATATATTGAATGTAACTTTAGTAAGGCAGAGAAAAATCGATTTGGAAGGGCTGATTTCAACAAAACTTAGAATATTATAATAGAAGAAGAGAAGAAAAGAGAAGAGTAAAGAAAGGATACACCTCAGTCGCTCTTTTTTTGGGGGGGTGAATATGCCTAAGTCACTCACCGCCGCTGTAGGCCACTGTTGCTCGCCGTTCGCCGCTACTTATAGTCGCCGCCGATCAAAGGATGTAGGGTTAGGGTTTGGAGAGAGAAGAGTGAAAGATAGTTTGCGAAATTCAGGGGTGGTTTGAGATAATCTAAATAAATGCACTTTTTGACTTTTTATGAAATATGAGTTGGGTATAGGTTGGGTTTGAAGTGATGTGATAGAGAAGTGATGTGACTTAAATAAGATGATGTGACTTAAATAGGATAGTGACTTTTGACTTTTTTAGGTTATGACAAACAAGGCCTCACTCTTGTTGGGAATGGAAAGAGTTGTCCTCTGTCATTCATGGGTAGAGTAGAGGCACGAATTTAGGAATTATATATTTTATATAAAAATCAAATTGAAATATTTTATACAATCACACTTATTTAAAAAGTGTGATTAAAAAGTAATAGTGTATATATAATCACACTTTAATTAGAATGTGTGATTAAAAAATATATATAATCACAATTAATTGAAAAGTGACATAAAAAATAAATATTATCACACTCAATCAAATAAAGTGTGATTAAAATATCAATCTAATTTTTTTAATCACACTTCCAATAAAAGTGAGATATTTTTTTTATCAAAGTATAATCTTTAACTATTTTTGTAGTAGTGGGTTGTCTCAAGGGATTGGTGGGTATATTCTTTACATAATTACAAAGGATTTGATTTTCGAGCTTAGGCTATGGGAAGGTAATTTCTTATGAATTCTTTAATCTCATCATGAATGACTTGTCTTTTTTTTAGATAGATGAATGACCTGCTTTTAATGAGAAGGGATTAATCCATATGCATATAAAGAGTAAAGATTTAGAGTTTTAATTTTGGAACTTTAAAGAGAATTCTACTGATGTGGTATGGAGTGGGACTTACATGTGATGTGATATGTATGCCTATATTTTTGTTTTTGTTTTCAGTTCCGATTCATAGCTCTAAATTCGGAGGCTCGAATTTGGTTCGACACTAAAACGACGTCGTTTGGTGTCCTTTTTTTTCCGTGTTTTTTCTGAAGATGAAATAAATTATTTCTAGATGTTGATCTGCATAATTTGGTCTAGAGAAGAAGATGAACATCCAGATCAACATCCAGATCAACATCAATGAAGAAATAAATAAAAGAGAAGAATAAGATGAACAATTTGGTCTTTGATCTGAAGATCAACATCCAGATCCACATCTGAAGATCAACATCCAGATCAGCATCTCTAGATGTGGATGTCAGGTTCAGCTCCTCCGTCTAGAGCTGTGTTTATCAACATCCAGATCAACATCAACCAAAAAAAAAAAAAAAAAAAAAAATGGTTCTGTAAATCAAAACCAAAAATTTAAAAACCAAAAAAAAAAAAACCAAAAAAAAAAAAAAAAAAAATCTGGTTCTGCAGATCAACAACAAAAATTTGGTTCTGCAAATAAATAAAAAAATTTCTTCTTGTTGGTTCAACAAAAAAAATATACAGAACAGAACAACTTTTTTTCGGATTCATCATCATCAACAACTTTTTTTTATTTATTTTTTTTCAGATCCAGAACAAGTAAAAAATAAATAAATATACAAAACAAATTTTTTGCACCGCCATCATCCAGATCAAATTTTTTTTTGAACAGCTTCAGATTTTGAACATCATCATCATCTTCATCATCTTCAACATCATCATCAACTTCAACAGCTTCAGATCACCGACCGCCATCACCGCGCCATCACCGATCTTCCTTCTCTTCTCTCTTCCTCTTCTCTTCTCTCTCTCTCCCTCCCTCTCCCTCCTCTCCTCTTCCCTCTCTGTCTCTGTGTTCGAAAGAATGAAGGGTAAAGAATGAAAAGGAAAGAAATAAAGAAGAAAAAGAGAAAAAAAAAAAAAAAAAAAAGACAGCCCAAAACGACGTCGAAAAAAAAAAAAAAAAAAAAAAAAAAAAGACAGCCCAAAACGACGTCGTTTTGGGCAGTCGAGACATTCAGGCCACAGTGATTTCGAGCTACCACTCATTTTTCTTTTGTTTTTGTTTTTTTTTCCCTCTTGTCACATCATTAAAACTCTCTTTAAAATTTTAAAATTAGACTTCTCTATCATTGTCAGCATATAAATTAGTTCGGACACTCTAAACCGTTGAACCAAAAAAACAACAAAACAATTCTCAATTTTATTTTTTTTTTTTCATATTTTGTGAGCCACTAGTAATGGCAACAAAAATAAGCTTAGGGCTTGTTTTACCTGATCTATTGTAGTACATTTTTTTATCTTAATTTTTTTTCAAATCATATCACCTCTTTATTTTTTTCACATTATCTCATAAAATATCAAAAATATATATTTATTTACCTCATCTAAAACAGCCACTTAATGTAATTTATTATATTTTTTAGTATTTTTTATTTTATTTTTTTATATTTTTTTGTTTTTAAGAACAAGTAATTTATTGTACTTCTTCAATATTTCCATTTCAATAAAATAAAATAAAAATTCTCGAATATAACTCAAATCTGGCACCATAGAAAGCCCTCTTTTTGGAACACCAAGTCCTCTGACCTCTCTCTAGGGTTTCCATCGTCGGTAAGTTTTCTCTCTCTAAATCTATAAATATATGCATAAAAAATATATATTTTGTATCGATCTTTAACAATCTTGATGTCTTAGGGTTTGATCGATCTCGTTTTGTGCTTTGCTTTGGGTTTTTTTTTTTTTTTTTTTTGGTAGATTGATATTAACCATCGAAGATGTTTGGGAGAGCACCTAAGAAGAGCGACAACACAAAGTACTATGAAATTCTTGGGGTTTCGAAGAACGCTTCACAGGATGATCTGAAGAAGGCCTATCGTAAAGCCGCCATCAAAAACCACCCTGATAAGGGTGGTGATCCTGAGAAGGTACTCAATTTCTGTTTAGATTTCTCAAAGATATGCTCTTTGGATCTATATATATGTATATGTTCCTAGATCTGTGTCTGTGTATTTGAGCTGGTCAACAATTTAATGGGTGTTTGATTATACAATTTAGGTTTTTTATATTGTAAAATTTCCTAAACTTTAGGACTATACAGAAGAAATTGATAGTTTACAAGAATATGATAATAGTTTGGGGGATGAGTGAATTAACCCTTTACTTTTTCATCTTTCAAACCTGAAATAGCATTGGCAGGTATGTTTCACTGGAATTTGTGTATCTGTGGGTTGAACAAAGAAAACTTCAATTATTTGTGCGCTGTGAATTTGTTATGAGTACTTCAGCAATACCCAATTCCCCCTTCTCATTGCAAACTCTGAAACTAGTACAAATTAGTATAGAATGACTCTTTGCATAATTTGTTGTGCCTTTTTTTCTCATTTCTGAAGTTATTGATGATTTTTCATGAGTAGACTCAAGGTTAGCTGAGTAGTTTGGAAATTCTTTTACTAAATAGTTCCCCAAGCTCAAATTGAAATGATTTTGGTTGATTGAATTTTCTAAGATAATAATTATGCTGCGTTTGGAAGTATTCGGTGCATTCATTTTGTGGAATTTCAATTGTGTTTTTAGTTTAAAGAGCTGGCGCAAGCTTATGAGGTTTTGAGTGACCCAGAGAAGCGTGAAATTTATGACCAGTATGGTGAGGATGCTCTCAAGGAAGGAATGGGTGGTGGAGGAGGTGGACACGATCCATTTGACATCTTCCAATCTTTCTTTGGCGGTGGTAGCCCATTTGGTGGTAAGGATGCATCACCTTATGCACTTTTGAAGTTGAAACTTCCATCAATGTGAAAAATATACAAACTATTTTGATACATTGGGATGTAATTCTTTTATGCCCAGGTGGTGGTAGCAGCAGAGGCCGTAGGCAAAGAAGAGGAGAGGATGTGATTCATCCCCTCAAGGTTTCTCTTGAGGACCTTTACAATGGGACATCCAAGAAGCTATCCCTCTCACGGAATGTAATCTGCTCCAAGTGCAAGGGGTGAGTGCTTGCATTGGGGCTGTTTAGTGCAACTTATATGAGCTACTCAGTTTTTATTTTATTTTATTTTACTTTGAGATTTTGTGTTGGGCTATTTGGTGCAACTTTTGCTTACAGTTATTAGGTGGAAATAGTGTAAAACTGATTATTTGGAAGCTGAAGGGTTGTTTTTGGCTCTGCTTTTTAATTATCAGCTTTTAGCTTATAATAAGTTGCGCCAAACAGGCCCATTGTGCCACACGTTGAGTAAACTATATTTCATTGCCCTAACATGGAGACCTATCGATCATTTGCAGTAAAGGATCAAAGTCGGGTGCTTCCATGAAATGTGCTGGGTGTCAAGGATCTGGAATGAAAGTCTCTATCAGACATCTTGGCCCAACTATGATCCAGCAGATGCAGCATCCTTGCAACGAGTGCAAGGGTACTGGTGAAACCATCAGTGACAAGGATCGCTGCCCGCAATGCAAGGGTGAAAAGGTTGTAGGGGAGAAGAAAGTGTTGGAAGTCCATGTAGAGAAGGGAATGCAAAACGGACAGAAAATCACATTCCCGGGAGAGGCTGATGAAGCGGTAAGCCAAATCATCTTTTTCATAGTTGTTGCCCATATGAATCATGTTTTGACCGGTTTTAAACCAATTCGTGTTTTTGCAGCCCGACACAGTTACAGGGGATATAGTCTTTGTTCTACAACAGAAGGAGCATCCTAAGTTTAAGCGAAAGGGTGATGATCTATTTGTTGAACACACCTTAACACTTACCGAGGCACTCTGTGGCTTCCAGTTTATTCTGACTCATCTTGATAATAGGCAGCTTCTCATTAAATCCCAACCTGGAGAAGTTGTGAAACCTGGTAAGTTCATCAAATTTGTATCTTCCTATACCATGTCATAATTCTCTAGAAATCTACTAGACACAACTTCACTTGTGCTGCTCCACAATTTAGTTAATTTGATTCTGGATTATTCCTTAATCGCTTATGCTGTAAACCATCACTTTGTTGGCCCTGTTTGATTTTCTGGGTTGGATATGAGGGGTTGAGGAAGAAATATAATACTTTGGAATATGGGATGGGATATATGGGGGTGTTTGTGAAGTTAGTTTTTAGGTTTTTTTTTTGTTTTTTTTCACTAAAAGACAAATTAGTTACAAAATCAAAAAAAACAAATCTAAACAAAATATCACATCAAATCCCATAATCATTTTCTCTCACAAACATCACATCTAACCACAAAAAAACCCAACTGTCTTCCCAAACACAAAAAAAAAAAAATTCTCTAATAATATCCTACAACTAAAAAATCCTACAACTCAAAAAACCTAAAAAAAAAAACCCACTTCCCAAACACCCACAATATGCTTAGGCCTCGTTTGGGAACCCTCCTTTTTAGCCAAAAAGTCAAAAAGCTACTAAATTAGCCAAAAAGTCAACAATCTATATCAAAAAGTCAAAGATTTTCTTTTTTTTTATTTTTTGCACATCTTTTCGTAAAAAGCCAAAAAATCATCCCAAACATAGTAGTTTTTTTAGCTTATATTTTAGTCAAATAGCTAAAAAGTTACTAAATTAGCATATTTCCAAACGAGGCCTTAGTGTATGAGATAGATTATGTAGACTGTGGAGTCACTTTTATTTTGTTTGGTTAGTGTAGGATACAACATGGATAAGAGGAGAGTATTTTTTACGATGAAGGTTGATCCATATCATATACTTTTTGAAGGATATAATATATTTTCGGAGGATATAATATATACTGTGGTGCTACTTTTATTGTGTTTGGTTATACCAGATTTCATATCTTGTGACGAAACAAGGGATATAAAAAAGTTGGGACCCACATGTTTTTCTACCCTTGCATATTTATCCCAATCCCCCCTTTCTCCTCCTTTTTTGACCTTTTTTGTCAGTCTTTTGTGCTCTTTTTGGTTGTTTTTCACTAAATGATATGTGCCATTAATTTTATACTTTTTACACAGCTAATGTGAATTTATTTCTAAATTTACTCCTATAACAGCAATGCACTGATCTTGTTTGGTGAAACTGACAGATCAATTCAAGGCAATAAATGACGAGGGAATGCCAATGTACCAGAGGCCCTTCATGAAAGGGAAATTGTATATTCATTTCACAGTGGATTTCCCAGAGTCCCTAGCACCGGAGCAGTGCAAGGCTCTTGAAGGTGTGTTGCCTCCAAGGCCTACATTGCAGATGAGCGAAATGGAGTTGGATGAATGCGAGGAGACTACACTGCACGACATTAACATTGAGGAGGAGATGCGTCGGAAGCAACAAGCTGCCCAAGAGGCATACGAGGAAGATGATGATATGCACGGTGGTGGTGCCCAGAGAGTCCAGTGTGCTCAGCAATGAGTGTTTGTTTGAGGATGCGGTTGGAGGTCAGAGTTGTGTTTGTTTTATAGATTTAGCAAGACAATAACATTCTTAGGAATGTTTTTCTGTTATATGCTTATTTCTGGTTTTGGAATTTTCTTATTGGACACACAAACTGATAATCAATGTAAGGTTTAATCTTGGACCGGCTGTGGAATGAATGGATAAAGGTAATCATTATTGCTATTGACAATGTGTGGTGTGGTCTTGTGCTTTCTTTCACATGAATCATATAATTCCCTTTCTTTTAACTTTTGAGGCATCTTCACAAATCCTTCTGTTCTATGCAAAAACAGTCTGAGAAGTTTAAGATCAGAGCCAAAAAGTATATAGATAGTAGCAGGATATGCTTGAACAGCTCAAAAAAGTTTACCCCATGCTAGCATCAGCATGTAATCTTTTTAGGGAAATTCTATAATATATCTCTTTGGAGGTGTGGATTATGTCTTAATTATGACTTATTATTATTTTTATTTAGACTTGATTGTAATTTATTATGGTATTAGTTATGACTCTTTTTAAAATATTTTAATTAAATATAATATGGTGTTTGGTTATAATTTTTTTTTTTTTTTTAATTATGATTGAAGAAAAGAATTTAGTTATGATATTTATGATAATATCATTACTTGCTTATAGTATGCACGTTAGTAATTTTTTGGCATGAGTAGATCAAGGCCTCTCTATGGTAATTTAACTACTAATTTTTGCATTGATTATTTCTTAAAAAAGATGTTTAAAAATTAGGAAAGGTAGTAAAGTTAGGGTGAAATTATGGACACTCGATTGCAAGAGACCATGAGCCCTCCCTAATAATGAATAATGACCGTTGGCGGCACACTTTGTCAACCAATACATGCTCTACACGTGTGCTGGAGCTATGTAATCAAATCCATAGCGATGAGTAGTTACTGTGGCAATTTCTTTATTACACTTGGTGTTATAAAAATAAAAAATATATATATAACAAAATAAGACACCATAAAAAATAAAAGAAAAATGTTTTAAAGCTCTAAAATAACGAATTCTAAAATAGTATTGAGCTGCTTTTAGACAGCTGTATTAGAGCTATCTATCAGCTCTGAAAATAGAAAATGAATCTTGAAAAACAAATATAATATCCACTCATTATCTCACATTTATATCTTCTTTTAAAAAAATAAATAAATAAAATTTATGTTTTGAAAATTAACTTTTTAAAGTAATTTTTTGAATTTTTATTTAAAAAAATATATATTGAGAATGTATGATAATTTTTTAATTTTTTAACTAAAAATTTACCTTCCCACGGCCACATGTACAAGTGGCAAGGCAACATATTATAGGTGCTATTTAGTACAGCTTAATATAAGCTAAAAGTTAGTAATCAAAAAGTAGAAATCAAAAACACTCCATTTCCAGCTTCAAAATAATAAGCTTTTGGTGTCGTTTGGGAAGAGCTCATTTGGACTCTTTTAGCTATTTGAGCCACAAAAGACAGAATAGGCTATTTGAGCCACAACAGACAAAACATCACATTCAACTCATAATCATTACACTCTTCTCTTACAAAAAAAAGTCAAAAAAGTCAAAAAGTCTTTCCCAAACAAAGCTTTTGAGCCCAAGCTCAAATAGTCAAAAAGTCAACCTACTTCCCAAACGGAGGCTTTATCAACTTATTTAAGTTATTAATATTTAAAAAGTTATAAGCAGAAACTGCATCAAACAATCTCGTATAAATTCTCAAATTAAAATAAACTATAATCAGTCCAATAATCCACACCAAACACTCCCATAAAAAGAAGCAAAAGTCGGACAAAAATGGGATGAAAAGCAACGGAGTCAGAGATCCAAACACAGCCCATCATGTGTTCCACGGCTCTCAATACACCTCCTCCCACCTAATCAATTTCAAATTTTAAAATGTCATCCCAACTTTCGGACCGTTAAGATTGACATCGAGTCTCTATCGATCTCTGTAATGTAACTATCTCTCTTGCTCCGTGAAATACCAAAAGTAGAAAACAATCAAGTCACAGACTTTGCCCCCCTACTCTCTCTCTCTCTCTAAACCTCCTTAGTCGAGCTGAAAGCTCCCTAGTCTTCTTCACTGCTTATCTTGATACCCATATCAATTTTTGTGAACTGAACTGAGTCAAAAATGAAGGGAATGAAGGGAAAGTTACTAAAGAAATTGAAGTCCATTAAGCCAATTGGGTATTTGAAGACAGACCGAGTTCTTCACCTCAATGCATCAGATGGGTTCGTCGATTATTTGCCGATTAAATCAAATCCCAAAGTCCATACCCAGATGGTTTGCGAAGAAGAAGACAAAGAGAACATCAATCAGAGCACTGTAACAGTTCAAGAGCCAGAGATTATCGATGTTTCAGAGCTCATGAGAGACCTCACAGATGATGAAGTGGACTTGGAAAACGATATCGACAACAAAGAAAACATTAGGCCAAAAACAGAGTCTGAAAACCCAGTTGCTCCGATAGAGATTTCGAGTTCATTGAAGCCACAAAATCGAAATTCAGAACCCCATGAATTGCCAGAATCAAGAAATTGTAATTCCATACAAACCCCTTTGTCGGAAATTGATGTCAACAATTTCCGGCGGCCGGAATTGAACTCTGGCAGCCTCTTCGACCCGAACCTCCTCGCGGCATTTGAGCAGGTAGTAATGATAATAAAGGCGGAAGAAGCAGAGAGAAGAGCCAGAATTGAAGAAATGAATCGCGAAAACACCCAAGAAGAACCGCCATTGAAAGCCCGAAAAATCGAAGAAAACAGAGATCCCCTGTTTGAAATAGAAGAAAACAGGAATCCGCTGTCTGATTTCGAAGAAAAGTGTCCTCCGGGAGGTTCAGAATCGGTAATTTTCTACACCACAGGCCTCAGAGGGATTCGAAAGACATTCGAGGACTGTAATAGCATCCGATTCCTACTTGAGAGCTTTCGGGTTCTCTTCTTCGAAAGAGATGTGTCGATGCACTCCGAATTCAGAGAAGAGCTATGGAGGATAATGGGAGAGAAAGTAGTCCCTCCGAGACTATTTATCAAAGGGAGGTACATTGGTGGAGCTGAGAAAGTACTGACCATGCACGAGCAAGGGAAGCTCCGGCCGCTCTTCGAGGGCCTTCCGATGGACCGATCAGAAGGCCCGTGTGAAGGGTGTGTCGGGTTTCGGTTCGTAGTGTGTTTTAGATGCAATGGAAGTCATAAGGTGTTTTCCGGCGACGACGATGGTGGGTCGCCGGAAAATTGCTTGGAGTGTAATGAGAATGGGCTGATTATATGCCCAATTTGTTGCTAAATTTGATCATTTTTTATTGCATTTTTTTTCTTCTTCTTTATATCGTTGATTGCTGTCTACTGTTATGGATATTCTTTTCAATTATTTGGTGATGGTTGTGATAGAAATTGAAGTTTCTATGACTTGGGTTGGAGTGTAATAAGAAGACCGTTGAAGTTAATTGAAATTGAAGAATAGAGAGGACTTGGATTGGAGAAATATGATGCATTTTGAAGTGATAAGTTTGGTTCTATTTGGTAAGTTTTGGAGCAACGAAAGGTTTATAAAAGGTGAATTGAGTTTTGTTTTCTGTCTTCATACAACATTCGACATCTTTATTTTAGTGTAAACCTTGAATTTTCTTATCGACTGGCCATGTTTGGCAAGTAGCTTTCAGTTGGTTTCTTATCTTAGGCCCTGTTTGCCTTTCTATTCTATAAATGACAAGGAAAACAAAATGTCAAAATATATTTTACATATCTCATATATTTTTATTTTGATACATCTTTTAAAGACTAGTGGATTGTGTATTTGAGAGCGGATCCACGAATTGTGGACAAATTTGGGTCAAATTCGTGAATTTCACAAGGACTCTTCCATTTGGATTGAGTGGTTTGGGGAGAAAAGAAAAGAAAAGAAATTGAGAGAGATATATTTCTTTTATTTGTTTGAATAACTTAAGTGGAGAAGAATAGAAAGAAATAGAGTGAAATAGAGATAAACCCATTTATCTTATAAAACTCATTTTCTATCTTCCAAAAAATAGAGAAATTGGGAGAGAAAAGAAACCGACAGATTCTTATATTTTCATAATACTAATTTTGTTCCCATAAAAATAAAAGAAATAAAATGATTGACAAAATATAAAAAGGTTATTATAGTAATATAATATAAAACAGTTTCTTTTATTTTCTCTTATGAAATCTAACTAAACAAAAATGAAAGAAATCACAATCATTTCTTTTCTTTTCTTTTATTTCTTACTTATCCAAACAAGAAGAAGATAAACCACAATTATTTCTTTTCTTTTCTTTTCTTTTCTTTTCTTTTCTCTTATAACTTAAGTAATTATTTCTTTTCTTTTTTCTCCTGAATTCCCAAACATAGTGTTAGTGGTTAGCCGACAAGAGGTAAGGTTACACATTTTCTAACACATTTTCCTTATTTTTTGGCGTATATTACACTTTGCACCCCAGTAATTTACACAAAATTTCACTTTAGTACCTACACATCAAATTGTGACACTTAACCCCTTGCACTTTTGGTCAAGTCTCACATTGGCCATTTTGTTAACAGTAAGGCTAACATAAGTTACCATTTAGGGAGTTAAGTGTCGCAATTTTGATATGTAGGGACCAAAGTGAGATTTTGTGAAAAGTGCAGGGGTGCATAGTATAATTTACCCTCAGATGTTCTCTCTCTCTCTCTCTCTCTCTCTCCTAATAAAAAATTTAAAAAAACTATTTTAATCTTTTTCATTTTATTTTCATAATATATATAATTTTTAATATAAAATTTTAATTTTATAAAATTAAAATATCATTGAAAATATACCTTTAAAATGAGACTAATATTAAATATATTTAATAAAAAAAATTAAAATAAATAAAAAGTAATTACTATGTTTAGTTATGTTTTGAAATTATTATTTTTTAAATAGAAAAATTAATTTGATGAAATAAACACACAAAAATCATATATTTTTGAAATTCTCAAAACAATCTTCATTAAAAAAAAATCATATGAGAATAATTTTTTTTAAAGGTGATAAAAAAAAACACACAAATCCAATCTATGCATAGGTGCAAATCACATACAGAGGAGTTTTGAGGAGATGATTAAAAACTAGTTTTATGGAAGAAAAAAAGAGTGTAAAAAATGTGAGATCATGTGATGATGTGATCATGATTTTTTTTAGGATAAATTACCCAAAATTTCACTTTAATCCCTACGCATTAAAATTGTGACATGTTACCTACTAAAAGGTACCCTCACTATTAACAAAAGAGCCAATGTGGCACTTGACCAAAGTGTAAGGGGTTAAATGTTACAATTTGATATGTAGGGACTAAAGTAAAATTTTATATAAAATAAAGGGATGCAAAGTGTAATTTACCCTATTTTTTAGGAGGGGAAAAATGGTCATGTTGCCGCGCAGTCACTGATTAGTAAGTTATTAGACCTGTCATATAACTTCTCATGTATTGAGGACGGAGAGATTTTGGAGATACAAGAATCTTGGTCTAATGAATTTAAGAGTAAATGGTTATCAATGGGGCTTTTCTCTATTCTCCTAAAATTTGAAAGAATATATATATATATATATATGGACAATTTGTTGGAAGATTTTCTACTTGTTATACCGCTAGGGCACATAATTCAAGTTTTACTCGCATAAGAACTAAGCATTTTCTTTGGTGTTTGAAATAACAGAAAGGGCAGTGGAAGCAAAGCTTTGCAAGAAAATATTTCCGTACTTGGTAAATTATAATTTCTTTATTTTGGGCATGAGTGATTTAAGTCTAGAAACACTACCTATTTACCCTAAAAAACTATCTCAAAAGTGCTCAGATTTAAACTTGCTATGGAGTCACATCTAGAGTGAATCTGGTTCGTATATTTCTAATTTTAAACACTTCTTTAGCTAATTTTTCTGATACATAACATGGTTATTTCCATCTTGTGCCCAAATTTACACCGGCCTCATTGCCATGCAAACATGTTTTTTTTTTTGTGATACATAACATGGTTATTTCCATCTTGTGCCCAATGCAAACATGTTTTTTTTTCTGATACATAACATGGTTATTTCCGTCTTGTGCCCAAATTTACACCGGCCTCCTTGCCGTGCAAACATGTTTTTTTTTTTGGGTGAAGACAAGCATGCAAACATGTTTTTTTCCAAGCTAAACAAAGGATTGATCATCAACAATTTGTTCCAGGCTAGTTCAAAATCTTTTCATACTAAAGAAAATATGCATAACCATCATTTACTTTTCTAGAATACACAGCTTTTCAAGATAAGCACATAAATTAAAAAAAACAAAGAAGTGAGTTAAAAGTGAAGTGTGAATATCATTCCCAAAATTAAAATTGTGTAAAAAGCTAAAGCTCATATAAAGCTCGAAACCCATCTTAACCTTCTAGCAAATGCAGGACTGACTTAGGAACAACAACATCTCATTCTGCATTCCAATTGAATCATTTCATAGAATAACATAAAACACATTAAGCATCTGAAGCTTGCTTGCGCTCTTTAATCAATGTGCCTACTGCTCTGAACCAACGCATTAGATTCCGGTTATCCTTCACATAAAGCCAAGCTTGAAGAAAAGGAAAGAGGTTCTCATTTATACCTCGCTCTTCGATATAACTATGCAGTGCATCTCTCATCCCTTCGTCAAGATCTCTGTATGTGAATAAACAAATGTGTAACTTCATTTTGGACAATTACACAGATTTTATCACAAGGAAAAAACAAAATACAAAAAAACTATGGAGTTTAAACATGAAAGTTATTAGATGTTTTGATTCTTAGAAAAATTTCCAGCTTTGATACCATACAATGACACAATAGATATGTCAAAAAGGTCAAGAAATTAAATAAAAAGTACCATTCTGAATCAGACAACTAGATTAATTGCATTTTATCCTAGCTAGTTTATAACCTCAACTCCAAATTCCTTAACCTTTAATTTTCCCTTAAAACCATATATCACTTACAAGAAGGCCCAAACCCCACATACTGATGTCATTAAGTCAATCTTGATTGAACCATAATTTTGTATTGCACAACATTCTTTGTAGTTACTTCCATGAATGATGTTGTCTAAATTGGATTCCACTGATAGTTTCGTATCTACTCATGCTATGCATCTATGAACATGTTTAGAATATGTTGGATATAAACAACAAATAACTACAACATTGTTTCTATCGCAAAGCTACTAGCTCATAGTTAATCAATCAACAAAGAAAAATAAAACCCTCATAAATGCAGTACTAGACTTACTGGAAAACAGGGCCATTGTATTTGGTCGGAACTACAAGAAACCCAGAAGTTTCAAGCTTGGGCCTCATTGAAACAGAGTGAATCCCCAATGCATCAGGGAACAACCCGCACAGAAAATGCAGAGACTCCTTCTGTCCAGGCTTCGAGATATCCACGTGAAGGAACAACTGGTTAATACCGTCTTCACCATCATCATCTCCACTAATAATGTTAGCCAACTGCATTACCCGGAGACTGATCTCCTCATCACCATAAGTCCGTTTTAGAACAGGACCACTTCTGTCAAGTGCTCCTTCCACAATTGTAAACGATGAAGGAGGGCTCACCTTCTATAAAACACAAATTGTAGCAAAATTAAGATCAAACCACTAAAACCCTAAACAAGAAAAAATGCACCTAAATGTTGACAATCCCACTAAAACCACAAACATAAAATGTATCTATATTCAGACAAAGACATTAAAACCCCAGTAAATCCCTAAGAAACCATTTGGATTGTAAGATGAGAAACGAAAGTAAATTATTGTAGTTTCTCACCTAAGTTTGAAAATAAAATAAATTATTGTGATTCTTCACTATCTAGCAATTTTGGTTCTTCACCAAATCTTAAAGACTTCTGTTTCTCGTCATTTCTTACCTCCTTGATCATTCTTTTCTTTTCTCACTAGACCCACAATCCAAACAGGCCGTAAACATAAAATGTATTTAGATTTGAGACAAAACAATAAAAACCCTAAGCAACGCAGCCAGAAACGCCCAAAATAAAACGAATTCAAAGTTAGATACTAAAACCCTCCACAAATTCAGCAAAATGAGATATGCATAACAGTGAGTGATTTGATAAACTAAACCCGAGATAAATCAAGCAGAAGACCTACATATATTCATAGATATACAAAAACACACATAATTACAGAGAGAGAGAGAGAGAGAGAGAGAGAGAGAGAGAGAGATTTACAGGGGGAGGAGTCATTTTGGAGAGTTCAAGGTAGTGTTCTTTGAGGTGACGGAGCAACATAGAGTTGACGGCGGAGGACACGCTCGTCGACGACCGCCGGGATGATAACATGCACCACTGTTGCAGAGCGCCTCTGGCTCCTGCCAATGCCTGTCTCCACATTTTTGCTTCGTTTGGTTTGTCTGCGATTCGAATCGCTATCACTTCGTTTTTTTTTTTTTTTTTCAATGAATTACAAATACACCTCATATATACTTAAAATACGAATTGTTGTTTATAATTTTAAAAATTATAAATATTTGTTTGTAAAAAAGATTTATTTAACAAAATTAATTATAAAAATAAAATCCATAGTTACTCTCTTATAAAATAATAAAATTAGATGAATTATTAATTGAAATATATTTTTGATATCATTAAAAACGGTTAATTGATTTGATTATTTATTGATAAAATAGGTCATTTGTTATGAAATTATAAATTTCAAAAGGCGAGATATAATTTTTAGAACTATAGGGATAATTCATATTTTAAGTAAATCTCAAAAAATGTATTTATAATTTATCATTTTCTAAATGTACTTTCGTTTTATATTGGAACTTGGTTTCTTTTTGGGGAAACACTATGGTACACACTCTTCAAATGATGTGTACCAAATGCATCTTATAACTAAATAATAAAACAATATAATTTCATATTTTTTAAGTTATAATTAAAAAAAATATCATAACAAAACATAATATAAAGTATAACTAAAAATCTCATGAGTCATAACTAAAATAATGTCATAATTAAAAAAAATTAATCATAACTAAAAAAGAAAATGACATAATTAAGAATACATATGATATACCCCTTTCAAATATGTGCATATTAGAATTTCTCTTGATTTTAACATAAAATAAAATTTTATATCATTTTGTTATAACATATAACTTTCATTAAGAAAATTGATAAAAAAAAAAAATTGGATCTTTTTATATTTTTATTACAAAATTATAAATTTAATCTAACTTAGGGGCTTTTGGGGGTACATTATTTTAGTATATCTTTTTATATTTTTATTTTATTTGGATCACATTAACTCTTATTTAGGTGATATTACATCTCTATCATATCGTACATTTTTTGTAAAAAATTAAAAAGTATACTTATTTAAATCATCCCAAATAATCTCTTAATGCGTTAAACACTCATTTAAAAATGAGTATCTCTAATAGTATTTTATATATTTTTTGTTAAATTTTAATTTTAAAATGTCTTTCTTATTTTAGAGAATTATTTTTTCAAAGAAAAAGTCACGAAAAAAAAAAGGAAATTGACAGAGAATTTATAATAAGATGATAAGGGGTTGGAAGAGAGATTGAGAGGCAACAAGAAATGAGCTAAGTAGTGAGTGAAGGCAATCGGAAAGGGACTAAGGAGGGAGGTATGGAATCATGGGGAAGCGGCTAAGGTTACACTTGTAAATAGAAAATAAAGAAATGATTAACATTTTTAGAGCATCTCTAACATTGTATTTTGTTATTAACTTTGAATAAAAAATTTATTTGATATCATGTACTTCAACGAAAGATTTTGAACTTTCATCAAAATGCCGGTCGATAGGACGGATGTCCAGTCGATCGATCGGCCAGTGTAATTTTTTTCACAAATTTTTGCAAGAAGGTGGTTATCCTGAGGGACAATAGGCTGGACATCCGGCCGATCATTCGGTGGTGAAAATGACCTGCAATTTTAACGGTTATGAATAGTGATTTGATGAAAAACAAATCCATCCTCAATTTGATGAAAGATCTAAGAAATTTTAGATTTGATACTTATTTGGTGAAAAGGTTGAAGCAGCAAAATGCATCTGTTTTCATCAAATTTAAACAAAAGTTGCTGAGTTGCAAATGGTTTTATGTAGATAAGTACTAACAAGTGCCTTATGGGTACAAGTCATCACATGGTACGCAAGAAAAAATTTCAATATTACCTAATCCGTTCAACTTGTTCCAGTTTGTTTGATTGCCCAGCTCGTCCCATCCCATAAAAGATCATTTGGGCTTTGGACAAAAGTTTGAAACCTGACTCAGTCTATAAACCTGACTCAAACTATCCGATCCAAAAAAAATATTGTTAAATTTAATTTTAATCCATTAAAATCAATATTGTTCCACTAAAAAAAAAATTGACGACCCATATTATCCTTGTAAATTACATTTTTTTTAAAATACACAAAACATAAATTGTTAAAAATTGAATTTGATAGTGACCGATAATATCTTCGTAACTCAACTTTTTACATATAATATTGTCATAATTTGTTAATTTGGTAATTTATACTTTAATTTGATTGTTTTAATAGTTTTAATTAATTTGATCATATAAATTATTAAAAAAAATAATAATATATATAACTTAATAATACAAGTCTAATAAAAAACAAAAGTGATATGGACCCCCTCCAAAAACCATCCCCAGGACCCCCTCTGAGGTGTCATTTGCTTGAAGCCATGTGAAGAACAATTGCACTGTGAGGAAGGTGTGATACACGCACCTGTAAGACAAAAAATATATATATACATAGGCTGAAAACAAAGACAAAACAAAAAATGGGAAGCCCTAACCTGATATTTTCTTCTTCCCCACCCCTATCCCTCTTCCCTCTTCCCTCTTCCATCCTACTTCCGCCATTGCTCTCCTCCGTCGACGGCCATAGCTCTCCGACCATAACTCTCTATCTCTTGCTCTACTAATCTTCGATCGCATTCCGATAGCATTTTCTCAAGTAACGTTACTCCAAAACCCCTCATTCTCCCCCTCTCTCTATCTACATACATTGATCAATCTCTATGAAATGTCTGTATATAATCTTATAAATATGTGAGGGTCAGAAACATTTTTGTTATTTTTAACTCTGCACTCAAATTTATGGTGGCAGATGGCTAAAAATAATTTCCCCAGGAAATTTTTCAGCTGAAATTATTATCAGCTAAAATTATTTTTCAGTTTCAGAAATGTAAAATAATTATTGTGAACTAGTTTATGAACTTATTATGAGCTGAAATTATTTTTCAGTTTCATAAATGTAATGAACTTATTATGAACTTTTTAATAGTGTTTAATGTGTTCTGTGATATACCATGACTATGTGAGGAATTGAAGTTGCTATAATTTAGTTATACCATAAATTTAAATTATCACAATGTAAATTTGAACATAACAGTTTCAAAGTTTAAATTTAATTTATGAGAGTGAACATGTAATAGTGTTTGAACATGAAGACTAATTTGAACATAACAGTTATAGGTTGAACATAATAGTTATAGTGTTTGAACATGTCATAACAGTTGTAGTTTGAACATAACAGTTATAGTGTATGAAGGCAATAACTGAAATGAAATAGTGTTGGAATAATTTATTAGATAAAGTTGCTATAATTTAGTAGTGTTATAAAATAATCTTATAATTTTTTTATGAAGGCAATAACATAACAGTTATAATTTTTTTTGAAAACTGGGACTTATCCACAAAACACAAGTCCAATAATTTTATAAATAATCATTCTAAAATCATTCTTTTTGAATTTCATTTTTGATTCTCATAGAATGGAGGTTGATTCAAATAGTGGTGACAATCCTTCAGTAAATGAGGGTGAACAAGTTGAAGAACCTAAGAAGGGTATATGTTTTAGCTCAAAAGAAGAAATGTACACATTTTATGCCAAAAATGCTAAGCATGTTGGCTTTTCTATAGCTCATAGAGCACAACATTTTGGAGATGATAGCCAATTAAAAAACTTTGCAATTGAATGTTCTCGAGTGGGGGAGAGAAAAAAAAACTCAGAAGTGAACCCTTTGAAGCCATCTTTGTCCACAAAAATTGGTTGCAAAGCAAGGGTATGAGGTAGTCTACAAAAAAATGGGAGATATATGTTAACCACAATTAACCTTGAGCATAATCATGGTTTGATTCCCACCGACTCTCGTCATTTTGCAATGAATAAGAAAATTCGTACTCCTATGAAGAGAAGATTAGAAATCAATAATCAAGCAAGGACTGGGGCGTCTAGGAACAATCATTCAATGGTTGTTCGGCGAAGAGGTCGTCCAGTTATGAAACGAAAGGTTGCTAAGTAGATCAAATAGTGAATCGGTTCAAGACAACAGCAAAAAAACAAACAAAAACAAAGGTAAATTGTATATTGAATTGAACTTGTATATTGAATTGAACTTGTTTTTTATTTTTTTAACAAACTCTTTTCAAGTACATTTTTACAAACTCTTGAACAAATATAGGCTGCCAAGGTGCTTCAATTTGAAGCTCAAGCTCAAGCTTATACATCGTATTATCCTTATATGGTTGGCATGCAAAATAGTATGTATGCACCGGTATGTGTTCATAAGACGACTTTATATCAATTGTTTGTTTTCATTTACAAATATTTTGTAACATGTGCTTTTTTACTTGAATTATCACAGGTGGTAAATGCTATTGGAGGCACATCTCTTATCCCATCGGACTTTGTAAGCGGTACACCGAGAAGTTTGATGAGTGCTCCAACTCAAATTTTTGGGTTTGGATCTTTAACCCCAATGAGGTTCTAATGCATGCACACCGGGAATGAATGATGGACATTGTAGACATGTTTGACTAGTTTATGGAACGTTGACATTTTGTTTTTAAGATTGAAACTTATTATGTTAAGTCTTACGTTAGATATATAACACATGTTGTGTATGAATTTGCAAGATTGGTAATGAAGTTCAAAACAGTGTATGAATTTGTAACACAATTTGGTATTATTATTATTATTATTATTGGTTATGTAATGAAGTTCATGAGCTTGATATTTTGACATTGTTATTGGTTATGCTATGTAATGAAGTTCATGAGTTTGCTATTAAGTCCCACTTTTACAGTTTGCTATTTTGTTATTACTAAAACACTGTAAAAAAATCTGTCTTTGAGTTTGCTATTTTGACAGTGTTTGAGCATTTTGACAGTGTTTGAGCATGATTTTTTGACAATTCATTTTGACAGTTCAAAAATCTGTCTTGAAATCATTATTTTTTGACAATTCATTTTGAATACCACCAAGAAGGTTTAAAAGGCTTTGCTTCTCCCTCAGGTAGATACCCAAAACATCATACTGGGTTAAATAGTTGACATATTTGAGGCTAAATAGTTGACAGAGTTTGCTAAGGTCCTTATTGGTGTATTCAACAAAAAATTTGAGGCAAAATCATCAAGGCTTCAACACAAGGCTTATGCTTCTAACTAGGTGCAGATATGTGCACCAAAAAGAATCAGTCACTAATTGGAATTGCCCAGCTAAACATCACACTAATCCTAACAGGTTGGTAGCTTTGCAAAATGACATTAAATTGGTAGCTTTTATAAATTGACATTAATAAAATGACATTAAATTGAGATGGAAACCACTCAAGGGATCACCCTAAGATATTAAGTGGGGCAAATCTAAAACAAAGGATTAAAAAAACAGGTATCTTCTGTTCCATTCCACACTAAGTGTTCTATTCACTCAACAATCTAAAACAATCAGCGAACAAAACAATCAGTGTTCCATTCAGTCAATAAGTGTTCCATTCCACAATCACTGTTCCATGCACTCAATAATCTAAAACAATCAGTAGGACATTCCATTCCAACATAAAATAACAAACTATAAAATAGATATTGCATGCCACAACAAAACATCATATTGTTCCATTCCACAACAACACATCATTCACTGTATAATAACAAACACTAAAATAGATATTTCATTCCACTCTAAAATAACAAACTGTTTCTTAATAATACATATTCCATTCCACAACAAAACATAGTTCAATCTACTTCTACTTCTAACTAGCATTACATCTTCATAAGTAATAAGACTAAGCAACACAAACAATACAAATTCTATTTTTTGCATCTTTGCGCCCTGAATTCGAAGTTGTTCCGTCATAAATCTTAGCAGTTCTCCTTCTACTTGTCTTGGAATTTCATGATCTCTACATTGTGAATTCATAGGCACACACCATCCAATGAAACTACCACAATCATTACAAGAGTAGAATAACTTGTTTTTCTTTCGATCAGTCTTAGAAATTTGAATAGTGGCCTTTTTATTACATCTAGGACAATTTTTGTTCAAGTACGTCAACCGATCTGAGCTACTGCGGTTGACAGTTGAACTTGGCATCTGCAATAACAAGTTATCCTCATTAAACTATAATAATCAGGGTTTAAATTTAAATTATCACAATGTAAATAACACCGACGACAATATGAGAATCAAAAATGAAATTCAAATAGAATGATTATTTTATAATATTATTGGACTTGTGTTTTGTGGGTAAGTCCCAGTTTTCAAACACTAATAAATTATAGCAACTTCATCTAATAAATTATTCCAACAATATTTCATTTCAGTTATTGCCTTCATACCCCACCGATTCTTGGACTTGCGATAAATTCGGGCCCACTAATCTTGGGCTATTGGGCCTAAATAATTTAGTGGGCTCAAATTAGCCCCTCTTACAAACTGTTATGTTCAAATTATTTGACATGTTCAAACACTATTACATGTTTAGTCTCATAATTATTCTACATTTTTTAAACTGAAAAATAATTTCAGCTCATAATAAATTCACAATCATAAAAAACATAGCTAATCAAAACAGCATTTTACAGTGAATGATGTGTTAGAGTGAATGGAACAATATGGTCATACTCAATTCCAAAAATAGTACTACAATAATCCAACATTCAAAAGGCCATGCTCAATTCTCATACTCAATTCAAAAGGCCAACAAGTAATTACCATACTAAACTAATTACCACATTCAAAAGGGCAACAACTAATTACCATACTCAATTCCCAAATAAAAATGCCATATTCCAACATTGAAAACAACTAATTACCATACTCAATTCCCAAATCAAAAGGCCATAATCCAACATTCAAATTGTTTATCAGTGTTTGGATTTGTCAAAAGCCCTAATTGTTTGTTAGTGTTTGGATTTGTCAAATTGTTTATCACCATTTGGATTTGTTAAAAGCCCTAAATCTGCCTAATATTGTCAAAAGCCCTAATATACAAGATACATATATGTATCAGATTTATCGCTATTTGGATTTGTTGAGGAATTATATACATTCAGATTATATACAAAATCTATCTTTTAGATTGAGGAATTTTGCCCTAATATACACCTTTGTTCATAAGAAATTCACTCAGAAAATGAATATATTACTCCTTTGAGGGTCTTTTTTTGGTGCGTTGGGTGGGCAAGCCCACAGACAAAGCTAACTACAAAGTCTTGGGGTGCCCCATTTGTTATCTGCGGCTGAAGCCGCAGATAACAAATGGGGACTACTTGCCCTAGCTACTAGGTATTAGGATACCTTTACGGACTCTTCTAAGACACTTGGCTTCCCGATACATATATATACATTCAGATTATATACAAAATCTGTCTTTCAGATTGAGGAATTTTGCCCTAATATACAAGATACATATATGTAGATATATATATATATATATATATATTTACCAGATTACCTCGTCGTAAATGGGATGGAAATAGAGAGAGTCGGGCGTCGAGAGGACAAAGTAGGGCGTTAGGAGGACATTGTAAGGTGTCGAACTGAAGGGGAGGACCTGTCGTCAGCGTGAAGGGGAGGAGTCGTCCTTCGTCGAATGAGATGGAAAGAGAGAGAAAAAGAGTCCAGAGTCGGGCGTAGGCGTCAAGGATGTCGGAGTGAAAGGGAGGAGCTGAGGGAGTCGACCGTCGAAGTTGAGGAGTTGTCGTCCGAGTGAAAGGGAGGAGCGGAGCTATCGGGCTCTCTTGTCATAGAGATGAGAGATATAATCTGAATGTATTTTTCATTTTGAATTCTAAAAGAAGAGGTGCGTGGCCCCTGTCTATCACATGACCGATCACGTGCCTGTCCAGCTCACCTGGGGGTCGTGGGGGTCAATTTATGTGGGGGTCGGAAACATTTTTGAATAAAAAATATGTAACTTGGTTTAGTTTGATTTTGGTTTGTAACATTTGGACTTACAGGTGAGACATTATTTGTTGATTGGTCAAAACCTGAAAATCCATTAATATATGGGATGTTTATACAATAATTGCAAGCCAAGTAAGACTGTCATGTCTCTCATCCCATTGATGACACCTACTTATAGGTATTATTTAATGTTGAAAAGTGTATAAAAATATCTTAAAAATAAAAAAGGGGGGAGGGGTCAAAAAATGTATTAATTTTAATAAAAATATATTAAATTAAGTAAAAAAAATGTATTGTATTTTTCAAATTTTTTATATTTTATATTTCCAAGACCCATATTATAAACTCTAGTGTTGGTTGACAAAAAAATTAGAACCCCAAATTAATTAGTTACTAGTGTGAAACCCAAAATTTGATTGGCTAGACCATCATACTCATATCTTTCATTAAATTTGATGAAAATTGTGTTTTAACCGTTTCACCAAATTGGTATAAAAATATCTTTAAGATAAAAATAAAAAAATGGTATAAAAATATCTTTAAGATAAAAATAAAAAAAAAAGGTCAAAAAATGTATTAATTTTAATAACAATATAATAAATTTAGTAAAAAATGTATTGTATTTTTCAATTTTTTTTATATTTTATAAAACCCAATTTTTAAAGGAATTAAAAAAAAAAAAAAAAAAAAAAAAAATTAGAACTCTAAATTAATTAGTTACTAGTGTGAAACCCAAAATCTGATTAGTTAGACCATCAGACTCATATCTTTCATTAAATTTAAATTTGATGAAAATTATGTTCTAACCATTTCACTAAATTGGTATCAAATGAAGAAAGTCATACTTTTTTCATAAAATCAAGAAATTATTTAACATTTTATCAAATCTCGCAAGTAATTATTAGGTGAACGACCAAATTAAAAAAGATTTGATAAAAATTTATAGTAAATCGGATGACCGGCCAAATTTGATGAAAAAATTAAAGCACATCATATAATATCAAATTTTTATTTAAATTTGATAAAAAAAATTGAGTAAAGTTATATATATATACATAATTTTTTTATTTAAAAAAAAAAAAAATGCCAAAACGATTCTTTCCTTCGAAAGTGCCGGGTTGAATTTTCGAGCAGGGCCGAGTTTGCCATACTTGTCGAGGACCATTGCTGTTTGAGAGTGAATGGGACGATGATATGATACATACAACACGAACAATTCGCACACATTGATTCCTTGAAATCAACACTCGATTGATTCTCCAATCAATGGTAAGTGTGAAGAAACCAAACTAAATAAATACCCAAAAAAAAAAAAAAAATCAAGCTAAGGTTGAGTACTCCCATTGTGTTTTCTTTGCTTATATCGATCTAGGGTTTTGGGTTTGGTCAATTCCTTATATCTGTTTAATGTCTACTCGGGTCAATTTATTTTATTTTATTTTATTTTATTTATTTAATTTTATCTCTCTGCATACATACATATTTGTGTATATCTATATATGTGTGTAGCTGTGTTGATTGTATTGAACTGTTATGACAATTGGATTCTTGGTTTATACCCAGTAAAAGTACCCAAAAAACTAAGATGGGTTTGGGGGCTTTGCTTGTGGACAGCTTAGGGCACTCAGATTCCCATAATGAGCAAAATGACTGAATTCAAAACATAAATAGAGGTGTCTGAAGGTGATTTTTTCCCCCTTAATTATTTCTATACATTTCTTGTTTATAGTGTTTTCTATGTGTGTAGTTTTGTTGATTATGCTGAACTGTTATGACAAATGAATTATTTGGTTATCCAGCTTTGCTTGTGGACAGCTTAGGGCTAATTTAGATTCCAATAATGAGAAAAATGACTGAATTTAAAACATAAAGAGGCGTGGTCTGAAGAAGTTCCACTACATTTCTCGTTTATAGTGTTTTCTATGTGTGTAGTTTTGTTGATTATGCTGAACTGTTATGACAAATGAATTATTTGGTTATGGTGCTTTGTCTGTGGACAGCTTAGGGCTAATTTAGATTACCACAACTGAGAAAAATGACTGAATTTAAAACACAAGAAAGATAGTTTGAAGGTGATTTTTTTTCCTATTTTTTATTTTATGATTTCTTATTCATTTCTATACATTTCTTGCTTTTAATCATTTCTATGTATTGAATTTGATTTGAAGATTGTTGCAACTTTTCATGCTATGGTTGTTTTGAAAAATAAAAAGTTTATTATGCAACAAATCATGATGTTTCTTATTTATCCAAAAAAAAATGATGTCTCTTGCCCTAATAATTTTCACATATATTTCAATATATACTTTTAATAGTTCATTACTTATATTCCAGAAGTAGTAACGTGCAGTGGTGTACTTTTTGGACATATGGTCAATGGTATTTTGTTGTTAGGTTGGTTAAACATTTGACTTTGATTTAACAAGCGAAGATGGAAAGGCAGGCACCTTATGCTGATCACAACGTCAATCCATATGCTGCTGCTCAAATGCAGCAGATAGCCCTGCAGAGAATGCAACAAAATGCTGGAATGAGTAATTTTCCTGGAAGGCCTGACTCTTTCATTTCTGAGAAGGAACATATAAACATGCTCTCAAAAGAAGGGCATAGACATCCAATGTCATCTCACCCATACAGCGAAGGCAAGTATTTTTCTGGACTATGCAAATTATATCCCTAGATTTTTGGTACACTATTGCTATTGAAAGTGGTGAGACTTTGATTTGATGTTTCTTGTATATTCTTTGTACGTTATATGTTCATCATATTTGTGTGCAAGGTGCGTTCATTTTTAATTGATAGACAACCTGAGGGTATGGACTGTCTTGTGAGAGAAGGTAATGGGAGAAACTGATTTCAGAGAAGATTTGAGGAGAGAGGAATAAAGGAGGAAAAGAAGTGTTTGAAGGAGTAGGAGAAAAAGAAACATGATAGTTGGAGAAATATTCTACTTAGGTATCCTATGATGCTTACCACTGGTTATTGGAGAAAAAAAAAAAACATAAAAATTACATCCGTTATTTTTTCAACACTGTAAATTTTAAAATGCAAAGTTACAGCCTGCTATATAACCCGGCTAATGAGGCGAGGTTATGTAGAAGTGAAATACTTGAAAGTGAGTTAACATTCTACTTAAGGAATAGGTAACAAGTAGGAACAAGCAAGTAGATCACACTAGCAACCCATTAAGGTGGTTGTAACAAGGTTAATACTCCTAATAACGTAGAATTAGTTCTAACTTATATATATTCCAGTCTACATCTAATGGAAAGACTTTCTGAAACATACTTTCTTGGTGCAACTTGCTTGTCCGTCTAAGATTGTCAAAGGAACAAAGTGGTAAGTACAACATTCCATAGTTAACCTTCAAAATTTAGAGATTCACATTGTTAGCTTAGTTGAGAATTTTTTAGAAATATTCCATTAAAAGGATGAATTAGGCAAAATAGAACCTTTTTATCTTGTCTTTTCAAAATGGTGACTATTATTGGAAGTAGAAAAGGTGGATGAAGGTGCCAACTAGCTTAGTTGGAAGATTTTTAGTAATTTTACCAGAGACTTGGAATTGAATACATCTTTATCTGAAATGGGGAAATTTGTATGAAGGGAGGGCTATGCGTAATTGTGCAGAGATGTTACATATCTATGAAGCTGTCAATCTCCCAAATGGAAACCACCTTGAAATTGAACAAATCTTCTAAATTTTCTCTTTGCTTTCTCTTTGCTTTGAATTTATTCTTTCTTAGACTTCTCTTATGGTCTTTAGCATCCTCCTTTTATTAGAAAAAATTCACCCAGGAACCTTAAAATGCCAAAGGTACAATTTTTTGGCTTACATTTCTATTTATTTCTTGAGTCCAGATTTCATAAGGTTCAAGTGGAATGACACCAAATCCACTGTTGTTGATCATTGTTTCGTTAAATCTGTCCAAAAAAATAATAATAATTTGAAATCAATGATGGGAGAAATTTTGTTGGGATCACTTCTTCGTGGTTTGTGGAAGAACATAACAGCCAAAACAAGTGTGTTGCATTGTTTTATTTCTTGTTGGTCTTCTTTACCTGAAGAAATTCTCAAGTATGTTTACTTCAACTCTTCACTGCACAAGTATCTTCTACTGCTTCATGCTCCGGCTTTGATATCTTTTAAAAAAGAATTATGGCTTGTTGAATTGGTGTTGGAAATGAAGAACTAGCAAAGCTTTTCTTCTCATGAAAGAGTAGTGTTACTTAAACTCATTAATGTTTCTTGAAGCTTAGATTCAAGAGATCAAGCCTCGAGTTAGTGCGAGCTTGGCATTCGTTAACTTGAGGGAGTGCTTATTGAAATTTTCTCAAGAAACTGTTTTCTCCCTGTATGAATTGATTAGTTTTTTCAAAAAGATGCTATAAGTTGAACCATTATAAAATTAGTATTTAATGTTTTCTTTGGTACAAAACTGATTAGGTTTGAGGGAACGGTGGTGGTTAAAATATAGGGTTACTTAAGAATAAGGGTTAGATTTTAAGCGAACGGTGGTGGTTAAAATATAGGTTTGAGGGAACATTTGAGAAAGCCAGAAAGAATGGGGAGGAAGTGTTTGGGGATGAAGAAAGATGAAAGATGGAAAAAGAGAGTTTCTCCGTGGATAACTCCTATGATTTGTACTATTTTTCATGCCTGCGGAAAGTCATAATACTAATTTGTTCAGTCATCCATGCCTATTAAAAACCACCTACTCTCCACCTACTTCACCCACTTAAACCTACTCCACTAAACCTAACCCACTACACCACTACCACCTCACCTACTCCACTAAACCTAACCCACTACACCACTACCACCTCCACTTCACCTACTCCTTACCTACTACACACTCACCCTCTTCTATATATAGGAATCATGAATCATTGTAATAGATATCAATAAACATCAATCAATAATACATAAATTTTTACAATGCCTAACACCGTGAAAACAAAAGTTGCAACTGTCAATATAACCTAGCTAAGGCAGTCACTTAAAAGTGAAGTGTTTGTGGTGATATGCTCTGTTATCAAAATCTTACAATTCGCAATTCAATTCACAATTTGATTCATAATTTTTGTAAAATAGATACAAATCTATGGGTGAATCTATTTTGGAAATGAATTTCTAGTGAATCGCATGATTCACAATCGATTCACGATTCGATTCACTTTTTATGATTCGTGTAATTTTTAAAATGATTGTGTCCGATATATTTTTGACTCTTTATTTCACCATCTTTTTAGTAAAAATGACATAATATAACTTCTTATAGCATTTAAAACCAAAATGATGAAGATCATGGAAAGAAGAAAAAGAGCAAATCTTCCCGAACATTTGGCGATCTCAGATGTGTCGATGGTGACTCATTTTTTCGATGAATCATTTCTTCGGACAGAAGAAGATTATGTAAACACTTACTCGAAATCTCACTTATCAGATTCCTTTGTGGAAGACACCATTTTTTCTGAAGAATTTGCCATGATATATCTGATCCATGCATTTAAGGATTGACTGAACAATAGAAATAGAATATTCATTGAGGAGAGGTATGATATAAGTAGACCAAACAGGAATTTTAGGAAAAAGATCTTTTCGCATGAAGTACATTTAAGGCATTAAGAATTAAAGATTTTGAATAATTTTGAGTCTTTATGTCATTATAGTAGGTTTTAGTAATTATGGGTATAATGGTAATTCTAATAATTGTTGGACATGGGTTGTAGGGGTCACCCATGGATTTTATTTTGGGTCAAGTTATTAAATGGGTTATTATATATGGGTTTTATTATCTCTAAAATAATCTTAGTGGTCAAAGTCCAAGTTTCCTATTTTGATATGAAGTAGAATTAGAAGTCATTAAAGTTTCCTATTATGATTGAAGTAGAATTAGAAGTCATAGTTAGTCTAGAATATTAGTAGTTTCTAAATTTGAGAAATAGTCCTTATAGAATTAGGAAAGTCTTTAGCCTATAAATATATGTATAATCTCAATGATTTAAGGGCAGAGTTAATATTATGAAAATTTGATATTGTGTTTGTGTGATTGGCCTATCCCTTGTGAGGGTGAAACTCTTCTCTTCTTCTTCTTCTTCTTCTTCTTCTTCTATCCAGCAAGGTTACTGTTCACGTCACTGTTCACAGTGCTTAGAACAACCACCCAACTGTCCCTAAACACTTGTGTTTTTATTCCCCAAATCCTACCCTTTTACAAACCCTTAAACTCTTATTCTTTTAAATATTTCTGCAGTCACAAAATCCCACCAAATCCAGTCCTATAAGTCTATTGTTGCTGCTACCAATATACTTAAAACCGGGCTCACTACTTGTAGGAAAGTAATCCCTACTCGTCCTACATTACAAAATAACCAATATATATACATGATTTGTTATTATTTTAGTGATTATGGAGTTTTTAATAGAATTCAATCAGATTCAGTCAGCCCAACATATTTTTAACCTTTAATCTCTTTTCTTTTTTTTCTCTCTTTATAAAATCATAATATATTTTCTAAAAATATTTAAGATTAAAGTTACATTATGAATTATCTATTGCTATTATTAAATTGAATATTACATATGTGAGGTCAGTTATGCCTTTTAAAATATTTTTGGTTTTAAAATAAAACATTCTAAATAATTATTTCTTACTATTTGCTCACTGTTACTTAAAAAAGTATGTATACTTATTGTCCAAATATCAATATCGTTGTTAATTATTGTTATATTGAAAATTAATAGTTTGTCTATTTGGTTATTATCTTTATTAAAAATGGTTGATAAGAAATATCTAAAAAAAAAGAAAAATAAAATGGTGATTTTACATAGGAACTTTTGTTAATTTCTACCTATTAAATTACGTGATTATCATTCAAAATAACATTTTCATAGATTTAAGTCTAAATATTTCATATTCATAAAATATATTTAATATCTAAATGTGTAGACATATGTTTTTAAGTAATTTAGAAAAAGTGACCAACTTTTTACGATTCACGATACGAATCTTGATTTGACAATTGTGGTGATGTGAAGTACTGGGTCAGAAGTTGGTGGCTAACAAGGTTGAGTACTTCAAAGCTTAGCAAAATAAAGTTACTAAAACATCTCTAGCAACAAGGCTCAAAAGTCAATTATAGCCTAATTCTAACAATGATACTTTGCTTGAGCATATTGAAAACCAATATGTTATAAATCTTCAAAGTTGAAAATCTCCCTAATTGAATTCGGATTGAATTTGAGTAACAAGTGGCAAGTGAATTTTGAATGACAATAGGCTTACATGAGGAGATAAATTGACTGCACTTGTATAATTCCATTGTGAAAAAAGGTGCATGCATATATATGTTGTTCCTTTTGTGAAAATTAATTAAGGTTATTTTTATTTTTTGAAAGACTGTTAAAAGGATGCTATAGCCACAAAATATTTTGGAATAAGCTCTTAAAACACATAATATTTTGAATGACAATAGTCATTTTGTTTCGTCTTCACTTCATTGTTCCTTTTCCCCATGTCAACCGCACTGTGTGTGTCATAGAGACAGTGGACTTGCTTTGAGACTTAAAGAGAGCAATTTTTGCTTATAACTCTTCTAAGCTGATTCAAACCTGGTATTGCACAATACATTTCTGCTTTTGCATTGAATCAATAAGTTCTCTTTTAGAGGTAAAAGTTCTTTGAGAAATTGGGAACACCTAATTATGCTGGTTCTTTTTATGCTCAAATCATACACTTACCATATGAATCCATTATCTGCTGAATGATATTTGCTGAACCATGCAGCCAATGCCATGATTCTGCAATGTTGTGATCATAGAGTACCCATTAATCTAAAAGGATACATTTTAAATATGATTTGAGGCCAATTAAGTGATGCAGAGAATGCTGTCAATTAAAATAGAACATGTTTAGAAACATTGTAGGCAAATCAGGATGTTGTGATCAATAAATGGCAGCATAAGAGAAGAAAAAATAGGAGTTGAGTAAATCTATGAGAAGCTGGTAGGCTGGTTGGTAGCATAGTTGAGCTTGAGTATCAGGCGAGTTATGATAAAACAATGCCCAATTAGGAGGGGAAAGATTGACTACACACCTAACTTTCGGCATAGTGCACAAACTGCCCAAGACTTGAACCCGTAACCTCAAGGTTATTAGGCCAAGTCCTAACCATTGAATCAATGGTCACCCCTAGGTGAGTTATGATGAATAATGTTTATTTGAATAGTAGCATTCTCGCTACAAACCTTTATTTGGATTATTGTTAGCCAGGGAGCTCATGTGAACTGGTTGCAATAGACATAGTTAATAATATATTCTTTTTGTACCCTTGTCATGAAGCAGGTCAAGGGGGCAATGCAGCTCGCTCTGTTTACGAGGGACAGATGCCTGATCCAAAAGTGGATTCATTGAAACAACCCAACATGGAATCTGGATTTCAGGCTCATGAGCAAGACATGGAAATTGGTTATGAGGACAAGCCTTCAACACTGACTTTTGAAGGTCTCGAGCAAAGGTTCCTTGATGAAATTATGAAATTAGCAAAGGAACAGAGTGATGCCGAGGATGCAGAAAATGCTAAGCACAGGGAGGTTAAGTCAATATGACTCTGAAATAATTAACCATTTTAAGTTGACCTTTCTTCTTCTACGATAAATGTCTTAATAGATATTTTGCTAGATTTGAATTTTTGTTTTAATTCGGAATGATTAACCAACATATTTACATTCCAAATGATTAAAATAATTAACCAACATATTTACATTCCAAATGATGAGAAATATTGATCAGTTGAATACGCATTCATTGGCATGAGTATTTGCTTGACCTTCAAGTTCTTCCCCACAACCCCGAGAGAAAAAGTGGAATGATGTGTCAAACAAGCATCTCATGATGGGCTGAATTTCTTATTTCCATTATTGAGAGTTTTAACATTTTATTGTGTTTTTATTTTCAGAAAATAATACAGATAAATACACAGTACCAGGAGAAATTGTTATCACTTCGAGCCCAACAAGCCAAACGGAGAGAAGAATTTCTTCTCAAGGAGGCACAGGCACGGCTACATCAGTATCAGCAAGCTGGATTGAATCACCACCACCCAACCAATGCAGGCCCAATTGATCCTCGTGGTGGCTACGGTGGGGCAGCAGCCACAGAAGCACACCGGGCTTATGCCACTGGTCAATCCGAGTCCTACAGAGATAGAACACCATTTCTTGGGGGTGGGAGGAATCAAGGAACTGATGCTAGGGTTCCAATCCCTGAGGGCCGTGTTTACAACAATACCAGTGCCCGCTATTACTGATATAATAGTTGCAGTAAAATACATATAAGTTGGTTGGAACGGCATACTGACTGCATTCTTCTCTCTCGCTCTCTCTCATGTTTCTATTCTGGTGTTGTTTGAATGTGAAATAGAGAATGATCTTCACCTTGACTATTTATGAAGGAACGACTATGTTCATTATAAATGCAGACTTTTTCTCCTTGTTTGTGTGAAGATCTTTGTCCTTGTATTTTTCCATTCATCCCTGAGCAAGAACATTTTGATGTTGTTATATAGAATTGATTGCATCACTAACAAGAACACAGTTTTAGGGCATCTTCTCATATCCATATTATCTTCTCGCTCTGCTATGTTATTTTGTGTTACCCATTTGAGAGAGAGTGAGAACTCTCCTTATATTAATTGATGACCTTAGAGGACTAATAATAATATAATAACAAGACAGACACCAAAAATGATATAAAATAAAAAATTTAAAAAAACACAGAAAAATGACCCAAAAGGAAACAAAAGCAAAATAAAAGGCCATTAAATCCTTTGCAACAGCAAGTTATGATTGATTTCAACAATAGTCCATGAACTTACTGCTGATTTAAGCTGCATCAAGAAAGAAGACAAACAAAAAACATGATACATTTTGTTAAATTTGATAGGGTTCTGCTGACTATTGGGATTAAAAACATCCAATCCAAACTTGTATTGTATACCAAACCGGAAAAGAAGGCCCGCATTTTCTGACTTCAAAAGATGTGCAACAACAATAAATACATCCTCGGCTATTTTCCATTTCATGTTACAGAAAGGGCCGATAACACAAATTTCCAGACCAGAAACCCTATGAAATATTACTCCTAAGGATGCAGTACAATTGTTCTTGGGTACACTAGAGAGACAACCAAAATTGCGACATTTAAAGCCTACAGAGCAACAAAGAAAATTTGCCCATAAAAAACAAAATGTAAAGGACCCAACAGAATCAATAGAATTTCAAGGTCTGAAGGGTCTGATCTGACATTTGCGAACACTGGGAACTCCGAGACACTGAGAATAACAATAATCTTCTCATTAACCCACATAACCAGGGGTGATGGCCAAGAAACCAATTACCTGCAACATTAAAATGTCTTACCTCTTCCGGTTCTTGCGTTTTACTTTGACAATTTTAAGACGACGCTTGTCAGTGGCCGCACCAGAACCCAATGGAAAGCTGCCTCCAGCACCAAATTCTAGACTACCTGATGACTGAAATGGAGATGGATTTTGCGAAGCCCTCTGATTTAGTTGTAGGCTACCAAATTGAAAGGCGAGCCCTGGCGATGGAGCAGTTGAACCAAACATAAAGCCAGATGACGGAGCTGAGATGGGCGGTTGACCAAATACCGGAAATGCAGGCATGATGGATGCCCGTACTGGGTCCTCAGCCATGCTATCCTCCATGCTCATCTGATCACCATTACCAGAGGCAGCCGTGAAGACAGGAACAGCACTACCAAACACGGGCTGTGCTTGGGAAGAGGCAGTAGCAGTAGAAGCAGCTGAAGCGAACGAGAAAATGGAATCCGATGAGCCACTAGGAGTGGATGATCCAAACACCATAGGGGCACTGTTGGTAGCAACAACAGAAACCGAAGATGCTCCAAAGTAGAACCCCGTTGACGGAAATGTTGAGTTAAATGAACGCTTGGTGGGCTGCCAAGTGGAATTAAATAAGCTTGAAGTGGCACCACTGGCGCTAATGATTCTCACCTTTTTGTCTCCTTGAAATTCTTGTTGTAAAATGTCCCATGCTTCCTGTAAAATAAATTGATCAATGATTCTTAGAAACAACTCATCAGAGAGTGCTTGTTGGATGAAGAAGAGTGCTTTAGCATCATTTTTTCTGGTTTCCTCTAGCTGCTGCTCTTGTGCTGATGTTAACGTAGTTGTTTTTTGTCTCCTTGAAATTCTTGTTGTAAAATGTCCCATGCTTCCTTTGATTTCTTGACTTCAATGATTCTTGGAAACAACTCATCAGAGAGTGCTTGTTGGATGAAGAAGAGTGCTTTAGCATCATTTTTTCTGGTTTCCTCTAGCTGCTGCTCTTGTGCTGATGTTAACGTAGTTGTTGAATCGGGTTCATCATACCCATTTTGTACCAAGTTCCATAAACCTTGGGACTGAAATAAGGTCTTCATCCTCACACACCAATAATCATAATTTTCTCCAGCAAAAATGGGCATATATGGTTGCTGAATACCCATACTTTGGTTGCTTGAGTTAGCGAAGGAGTTTTCTGCAAAACCCACTTTTCTTCTTGACACACCTATTTTCAGCCCTCTTTTTCAAATCTAAGCTTCCACTTCGAACTCGGCTCTGATATCACTTTATGTTGGGTGTTTTTGGAAGCAAGTTTGTGTTTAAACTACAAAGAAATCAATCTAAAACACACAAAATCAAATCTGTTTTTTTTTTTTTTTTTCTGCAGAAAATAGAGAAGAATAGCAAAACAGAGGAGAAAAGTGGTCTAAATTGAACAGCCCCTTTAGCAGCTTTTTCTATTCCTCTTCTAGCTTCCCACAAATTTCCTCCACATAATTTAATTCTAATTAACAAAACCCAACCCAAAACATAACTAGAGTTAACCAAACAAAAGTGATTGTTTGGATACAAACAAGCACATTATATCAACAGTATGAAAGAGTAATTTGTAGTCTTTCCAACGTTTGGTGATAATAGGAAGAAAACTGGTAAAACAGTATGCTTGTTTCTACAATTCTGCATGATGTGTCAGTAAATCCAACCTACAAACACATTTTTTTACGTCCCTCTTTCAATAATTAAAATTTTAAACCAAATCCTCTAACAACAAATAAATTTTAGACAGATAAAAAATTGGACAGATAAAATTTAGACATATAAAATTTCAACCGATAGAAATTTACATAGATAAAATTTCAACAGATAGAAATTTTACACAAATAGAATTAATTTCAACAAATAGGTGTTAATAAAAATTAAAAGGGTGAAATTAGAAATAAAATGTCATTCAAAATAATAAAATGTAGAGGAAATATCATGGGGAGACATTGATTTGCTTTGTAATCTTATCTAACTATTAACATATTAATCGCTATTTTGTGAAAGAGTCCATCATTTAGATTGGAGGGTGTTGGTCATTGCCACCATTGCTAACGAGAGATCAGATTGATGGTTGTTTCACTGCCCTTTAGTTCTACCATCATCAATCCCTCTTTCAAAACTAATTTGTTTTTATTTTATTTTAGGGTAAATTACACTTATTTTTCTTGATATTTGAAGAAAATAAAATTAGTCTCACACTTCTAATATAATTACATATAACTCTCTCAAAGTTTTAAATTTGCATAACACTTAGATTTTTTTCATCTCTTTTATATTAAAATGTATATTTAATTTTATTTATTTCGATATATGTTCATCATATGTATTAGTTTTGATCGCTTTAACTTTATTAAAAAAGTATCATTATAATTATGCCTAACTTTTAGAGTTAATTGCATTTTTCTCAAAACTCTAAGGAGGTGGGCGTAATTTACTCTTTATTCTATTTGATCTCATATTGTGGTAAGCCTCTTGTGCTGACGTGGCATTGCCACATCAATGTAAATGACCAAAAATTATTTTGAGACAAATTCATATGGCGCCCAAGTTAACATTCATTGGTTGAAAGAGTGGAGTTAATATTTTTTATTAGTATTTTGGGACACAACTTACACTTGTCGAGTGATAAATAATATGAAATAATACTTAAAAATCACTAAATAATCACTCATAAATGACTGTATCTTCGGTCATATTCATATCTTAATTAATTTATCCAAGTAAATTTTGATATATAATTTTAGTTATTATACATGCAAATAAATTTGGGAGAATTTCAAAAAAGTGAAGGGTAGAAATATTAATTTCAAAATGATGGAAGTATAAGTTTTTATTGCTTAAATTTATACATAAATCACTTGTTCTTTTATTATTTTGAAATTATTTTGTCTACACACCACTTTTTGAAAATCTCCCAATAAATTTTATTTGGGTACTAAAAAAAATGTATTGAGAATATTTACTATTTTACTGAGACTTTTTAATAAGTATAAAGATCTGATTTTTTTGAGTTCCATTAAAATAAATTTTAATAAAATTAAAAAAATCCCATCTTTGAATAAATTTTCACAATTTTGTATAAATTTAAAGTTTGAAAAATAAAAAATAACATTTCTATCAAAAAGTAACTCAATGTGCGCGTGATGCAATAAAAAATAAAATATGCATGTCCTATGTATTGGAAAAACTTTTGAATAGGGATTTATGGAAAAAAGTTCCATCAAAATTAAAATAATAATAATTAGCCAATGTGAATGTTAAGTGAAAATTTAATATTCAAACGATGAATATATAGTATGTAACCTTACATATCAAGTTGAATTTTTGCTTCCAAGGCGTTGGGTGTGATTCGGAGAATTTGAGAATAAATTTATAAATTAAATTGTAACCAAATTACGATTTAGACTATTTAGGGCAGTTTTAATTTATTAATTGGTTGAAATTTTTTTTTAAACATTTATCAACTATTTACATAATATATAATTAGCATATCATCCGTGCTATATACAGGATAAAATAATATATTATTTATTAAAAATATGATAATTATATTTAATTTTTTAATATTTTATCTTTCATAAATAAAATTTTATATATAAGTTTAAAGGTTTTGTTTCAAACGTTCATTTACCTATGTATAGTATATATAGATTAAAATTGTCGTATTGACAATTAATAATTAAAATTATGTTTTGTTATAAAAAAAAATGACATAGTTCTAATACTTCAATATTTTAGAATAAAAATATATGAATTTTAAAAAATTGTCATATTGGTTTTTGAAAGGGAAGTAATTAAATAAATTTTAAAAACTAAATGAGTAAGAAAAAATCACTGTAACATGTAAAATCGCTAAAATTAAGGTTATACCAGTAAATCATTCAAACCGAAAACGATTTAACTTAATCAGTCAGGTCAAAAGACCAACTAGCTTACACAAAAATTAATTAATTAAAACTTTTAAATTTTATTTTATTAAAATTTAAACAATCACTAAATATGGAAAGCAATATATTAATTTAAATTTAAAATTGACACAATATAAATTTAAAATTATAATAATATATCCCATGATTTATAAGTTTTAAATACAAATTTAAAATTATCATAATTATCTCATAATTTTTGTATTAAAGAGCAATAAGAGTGACGTCGAGATTATCAATATATATATATATATATATTACAAAAAAATACTTTTAAGGAAAGATATTATGAGAGTTTTAAAATATCATATAAAATTATTTTTAAAATCAAAACCTCTATGTGGAATTGTAAAATAAAATTTAAATGGAAGTTGACCAATCGGAGATTTTTTTAATTATTTAAAATTAAGAAAATCAAAAAATAAATTAGTAGGAGATATTGATCATAAGGCTTTTCCTTAAAAATCTCCTTTTACTTATATAAATGGGAACATAAGATTCACTTTATGTACGTGAAACAATTCACTGTGAGATTATAGAATAAAAGTTCAATGAAAGGCAGGCAATGAGGATTTTCTTAATTGTTTAAAATTAACAAAAATCAATAATTTATATAAATGATAGCATAAGTTTCACTTTATGTAAGTGAAACAATTCACTTTTTCCTTTTTTCTCTGGGATTGTAAAATAAGAGGTAAATGAAGTTAGCCAATGAGAATTTTCTTAATTGTTTAAAATTAAGAAAATTCAATAATTTTAGAATGAGGGTTTGAAACTCATAGAAAACTTCTCCCTCAAAACCCCATTTATAAGATTCACTTTATATAAGTAAAACAATTTACTTTTTTTTTTCTTTTCCCGATGTGAGATTGTAAAATAAAAATTAATAATTGTTTGGGCGAGAAATTTATTTCTAATCAAACAATCTTAGACTTTCAATTTTTATTTAGGTCATTCTTTAGTTTATTTCGAATCAAACAAATCTAACCAATATATTTTTGTAAAACCACTAAAATCACGGTTAAACCAGCAAATCATTCAAACCAAAAACGATTTAGCTTAATCAGTTAAGTCAAAAGATCAACCAGCTTACACAAAAATTAATTAATTAAAACTTTTAAATTTTATTTTAAAAGCAATCTATTAATTAAAATTTAAAATTGACACAATATAAATTTAAAATTATAATAATCTATCGTATGATTTATAAGTTTTAAATACAAATTTAAAATTATCATAATTATCTCATAATTTTTATATTAAGGAGCAATAAGAGTGACGTTGAGATTATTAATATATCTGTATATTTTACAAAAGAAAACTTTTAAGAAGAGATATTATGACAGTTTGAAAACCTCATACAAAACTATTTTTAAAATCAAAACCTCTATATGGGATTGCAAAATAAAAGTTAAATAGAAGCTAGCCAATTGAGATTTTTTTAATTGTTTAAAATTGAGAAAATTAAAAAAAATTAGTTCGAAATATTAATCATAAGGTTTCTCACTAAAAATCGCCTTTTACTTATATAAATAAGAGTATAAGATTCACTTTATGTAAGTGAAATAATTCACTTTTTCTTTCTTTTCTCGATGTGGGATTGCAAAATAAAAGATAAATGGAAGTTAGTCAATGGAAAATTTTTTAATTGTTTAAAATTAAGAAAATTTTATAATTTTATAATAAGGGTTTGGAACTTTTAGAAGGCTTCTCCCTAAAAATACCATTTTCTTTATATAATATATAGATACTAATTTGTATAATGTTTTTTATATATATTATATGAACTAATTTTACATAATATTTTTTCCATACATATAATACTAATTTACAATAAATTTCATATCTGAAATCTCTATTTCACTTATTTTTACGTTAATATTTTTAAAAATATATATATATATTTATCAACTATAATGGAGCGATTTTGAAATATAAAAACTAATCCATAGTTAGTGTGTGGGAATTGAGCAATCTTACACAACCATTATTGCATCTATATCATTATTATTTATATTCGGTTTATACTCTAGCTTTGTGAGTCCTATCTCAGGCTTATAGCAATAATCCAAATGAAAAATAATATACAAGCCTATTTTTTGAATCTAATGATGCATAAGTGATATAATTAGTTGATAATTAAAAAATATATGAGAGAAAATATTATCTTTAATAGTATCATAATTGATTGTCATATCACTGGACTTGAAAATTAGATAGGAGTATAATTTTTGGTCTTGAATAGCAATGCTCAATTCAAATTGTTCATTTTGTAAGCCCTATAATAAAGATGAGTTGTGCAAAAAATCAATATTTTCTTTTTAAATAGACAACAAATTTGAGTTTAAACTTAAATCATCTATTTTATAAAATAAAATGTCATTTATTCATCTATTCATCAATATCCAATAAAGTTAATTTTTTACATAGATGATATTCATTGCAAGATTTACTAAATGATCGGTTCAAATCTTTATTGTGGGCCATATAATCAGGGATGGAACCAGAATTTTATTATCAGAGAGGCCAAAAGAACAATAATTTTT